TGTTTGTTGAAGCATAATTCATGGGTTCTGAAATTGATGTCCTGTTCTATTCCAGAGGAACAATTCCAGTCACTGTTAAAAATCAGGCAATATGAAATTTCAAGTAAAAGTAACAACAACACTACACTGCAAGTTTCTTGCCACATAAATAAAAAGAACAAAACAATCTTATAGTTAGGCAGTGTTGAAACACAAGTCTAAACACACCTTAAAATGTTACAAGTTTGTCTCTGATTTTTTTCTTATCTGAAATGTAAATATAATTAGCCTATAAAATGTGAAACCTTTTTTTAAAGCATAAGAAGTGAAAGCAGCTAGAGACATATCTTAAAATCATTTTCTGTTACATACCAGTAATGCCACCTACTGGCGTAAGAGAAGATCCAACTTTTCTTTCTGAGTAATTTTTAAACTAAGAGCTTTAATTTCAATACAATATTAAACACCACTGGTTACCTTTTCCCTCTCACCCATCTGAAGCAAATAATTTCTTTCATCCAAATTTCTCCACAAGTGAGGGGCAAGATTAGAATTGAATCACGTTCTATTTAATACTTATGTAAATATATTTAATACTTAAATATCAACACTCATCTGAATACGACAAGGACCAAAATGTAACAATTTTCTTCAAAATGTATCCTCTAGAAACAGCAAAAATTCTCAGTTTCTAAAATTCATTGTCAAATAACTAACAGCAAACACAAACTCGTCAAGAAGTTTTGCTAGTTCAGCCCCTATTAAAAATTCTTCCTATCCTTCCAAACCATATGTATTTGCTAACTCTCAAAATTAATTAGTCAGTTGGAAACCACCTTCCTGGTTACCACATAAAACAAACCTTTCACAGTCATACTTCTTTTCAGGGCTATATGGAGTGTTACCCTCCCATAATGGAAATACACAGGGGCATCAGAAAACATGGGCAAATTTACAGGCAACTTCTTCTGGAGTTTGCACAAGCTCTGGAGGAAACACAAGCTGCCATCTCATTTCTACCACAAATAGGCTGATACCTCTCACTTCACACTACAGAAGGCTTTGAAGCAATAAATTTTTAGAGCATTTTCTAGAAAGGTATTTTATGTGCATGACTAATTTATTCAAAATTGCATGCATTACTCATTTTGAAGAAACCTCTGTGGCATTGTTGTTTGGTTTTGGGGGCTTATTGTGTTTTTGTTTGAGGTTTTTTACATACTGTTTTCTCCTCTTAAAACAAATAAAGTCTGTCTGTCTCTGCTTTAAAACACAAACCCTAATCTGGAGTTCATGGCTGAGACCAGTCTCTCCGAGATCAGTCTTTCCAGGAGATAAGTGGAAGCACATCCATGTTTGCTGAAGTAAAAAGGTTGTCTACACTGGTAACCTGTTTCTGTCAGCAGACATTAATGAACAGTCAGGGAATGAGTGCATGGATAAGACTTGCATATAGAGATTACTCTCTAACCCACTCTACCAGATTCCAAATCTTTAGGATTTTTTGAGCAAGAGGTTGTTCAGCATAACTGTTCAGCAAGATGGTGATGTCCCCTCTTTATTATTCATCTAAGAAACAGCAACATAACCCTACCACCAAAACTCAAGTCTGAAAAGGATTTATCCAGTTTCCATACTTCTGCCAGTGCAGATTAAAAATTTACAGAAGCTGATTCACAGCCCATTTTGAAAGCAAATTGCAACAAAGCTGTTCAGGCTGTGAGAACTTTTGCATCATAACCTGTTTTGGCCAGGAAAGTCAATCTTTGCTTGCTGAGCTTTCATACTTGACCCATATACCTACTACTTAGTCACATACCTTACAGACTGCTGACAATGATGTTATAGAACTGTTTCAGTAACAATATTCTGCTCTTTCTCTTTAACCCTGTTTTGCAAGCATGTCCTTAGGACCCAGCACACAAGTCATTTTTTGTCCTCTACCATCCCCCGTAAAACCTTTACTCCTCTGACAGCTGAACTCCTCCTCCTTTCACATCTGGGTACAACAAGTAGAAGCTGAAGCAAGTAATACATTTCTTGCTGGATTTTCTTCTCAATCCGCTGAGTTTCAAAGTTGGACTTTTCCAAAATTATGATGGAATGCACCCTCAGCATTATTAATCCAGTGACTTTGAGTACTGTAAGAGCATAAGAAGAATGAACTTCAAAAAGCAGCCAGGTTCCTGCATTCTCCCTCAAGAGCCTGCCCCATATTAGTGTTGTCAGGGGCAGCAGATTGGGCTAAACAAACCACTCATCTGACACAGTAGGGAGATTCGACCCCACAACCAATATCAATCATGTAATGTACTCTCAATCTCTTCTTGTGATTGACTTGCAACTTCCAGAAAAGGAATACAAAGAAAAATACAAAATTTCTTTCCTTAAAAGAAATACAATCCAAAGGGGAAGACAAAGAAAAAAAACAAAAACCCAAACAAACAAACAAAAAAAACCATAACAAACCCTTTAAATGGTGACCACCAGATAAGAACATTAAGGATTTTTTTCCCTAACCACCTTCAACTCACCCTAAAAAGTATACCAGATACACTTCTGCTACCCTAGAAAAGCTTACTCCATGACTGTTCTGGACTAAATCCTCTCCATTGTGAAATTAAGAGAAATTTTCCACAGATTTAAAAAAATTAGCAGAGAACAGCACCTTGTTGATATAATGGCATGCAATGCAGACAGAGTTTCAGAGAGAGCGTAGTACTTTGTATGTAGTTGTCAGTCAACATTTAAAGACTGCACAAAACCCCCTAAAATTATAAAAAGTGGTAAAGAAAAAAAAATACTACTTCAGTGAATAAATTCTGATACATATCTGAGTACTTTAAGTGACAAATATTTGCAAGTCTCTGATCAAGACCACAGAGTCTGCACATAAAACACAGACAAGATCCACAAATTGGTGAAGCTAAGATAAATAGTTGTTTCTTCTCTATATTAATAATCAGTTACTGTCTATTAACTTCACAGAACTCCCCTAAAAGCAATGAGATGTAGAAATGGGCCAAGGATTGTTCAGTTTGCTGTGTTATATATTGAGAGTAGAGAGCTCTACTCTCAAACTGGACAAAGTGCAGGGCTATAATAAACTAATTAAGAACTTAAATTTATTTAAAAAATTCTATAAGCAATAAAATGCCCTCCAATTTGACCACTTCTACTTAGAGCTATGTAATAATGGAAGAGTCATACTTCCAGTTCTTGCTATCTAGACTGCACTGTTTTGACTACATCTTCACTGTCTGTAACAGGGTCTAGACACCTATGTGGGTGTAAAATGTACCCTCCTAAAGTATCTGCCCTGAAAAATAATCACTTTTACTGCCCACAAGGTTAGGACATATGGTACAGCTGTTAAGGATCAGGTACCTACTTGCACACTTCTTTAGCTCAGGGGGGTGTGACTGTGTTTACAGAAATACACCTCTGCCAGTTAATACGTGTCTTCACTCAACCCTTAGTGCCCTCTCCACCAAATGCAGAACAGGACAACTTAGTGGGATAACCCCCTTTGGTAAAGCAATATGTATTTTAGACTAGGAAATGTCCAAGACAGAGTCTAGTGAGATGCTAAAAAAATACTTACTGTACCTACTGGTGGTTACAGAAGTTAAATGGGTTTCCTGAAATAGTATATAAAATACTAGAGCAGTAATTCTAAAGGAGTTCACTTGAACCGGACTACAAATTAATCTGGGAGTACTGGAGTATTCCAACAATACTTAAAGCCAGTAGATCAGTCAACAGTATGGTTTACAGACAGTAAGCAGATGACTGTGTTAATATAAATTTCACCTTACTTCATACAGCCTATCAAAGGACACCATCTGTCATACACAAGAATAAAGCAGACTGTGATTATTAGGAAGCAACAAAAAAGGAAAACGGTCATTTCACCAAAATATATTGTGAGGTGCCTATGAACCAAACATAATGTTACACAGAAGAATTATTGATCTCTCCATACAAAAATGACTGACACTTCACTTGGGAATCACACATGTTTTAGTCACTTGTATTCAAGAAAGTTGATGAAAGCAATCAAAAAGGCTCAAAAGATACAATAAGGAAAACACAGAGGACAAAGAGTACATCTGATGAGCAATCTAGGAAACAGTGGCTAGTTAGCTGTCAAACTAGTAAGGTTGTTATTTACAAGAGTCTCATACTCAGTTGTTATTTACAAGAGTCAGTACACATGCTGAAGAAAATTATTGACCTGATAAACAACTGTCACCAGCAGAATGCATAAACTGACAAGAATATACTTTACTGGAATTAGAGAAGAGTTCTACAGTCTCGCTTTGGAAACAGCCTTCCTGTAAGAATACATGAAATGTAGTCTTCAAATGTAGCATAATCAGATTACAGAAGAGGTTATATGCCATAGCTGTGCAGAACTGCAAGTGGCTGAAACTCAGTGCCACTTCTGGTTTTCCCCAAACTATCCTAACTGGGAAAGTGCAGCTCCTTACTCCCCAAATGCTTAGGTACTCTCAGTTTTTTAGCTCAAGTTATTCAAGTTCAAATTTATATCTTGTGTTTTATTAAATTGCTTAATGACATTACATTATCATAGATGCAAAGGCATTATCTGCAAGACCAAAACAGTTCTGTTCACAATATATTTTGAGGTAAGCTTGCAGGAGAGTGGATGCACTATTGTAAAAACTGTTATAACCCACTTCAAACTTCTACTCCCCTGCTTTTTTTTTTTCCATTTGCTAAAACACAGTGCCCCAAAGATGCTTTAGAACATCCTGGTCTTTATATTTCAACACAAGCTACACTAAGGAGATCACATGTAGGACAAACCACCACTGAAGTGCACCTGTAGTTTTAAGACAATTATAAACCAAGGCAAATCTACAGTTTGCTTACTGATCATATAACTTAAGAAAAACTTTACAGAAACTATGCTAAGAAAGCAGTTTAAAGCCAGTAAAATGCATAACAACCAAAAATCAAGAAATGGAGAGTCCTACTAGGAATTGTGTTCTTACCTTTTCCAGGACTTAGGTTTTGGTCTATAAACACCTTAAGCTCTCCATTGGCTTCAATTAGTCCAGCCTGTTAAAGAAAGCAACTTTTATTAATTTTACGAACATAGATCACCTTTTATTGGTAAAGATGAAAGGTATCTTACCAGTAGCCTCTACTGCTACCACTCTCATTTTGTCACAAACCTGGCACTATGAACTGTCTGGGGAAAAGTACTTGTCAAATTTTAAGGTCTTGATTTTAAAAATGCCATATTCTTTAAGAGCAAGCAGAAAATCAGTTTACAGCTACTTTGCTATTTGTGTTCTAAACTCTTACAGTGTGTATGCACTGTTTTAACAGACAACTGCAACTACACTTTTCTCTCTGTAGATACTACTCACCTAATACACAAGGTTACATTACATTACAGCAGAAACAGCACAGACCATGGAGAGTGCCTGGGCCATTTTAATGATGAAAAATATAACTAATAAGAAATATATTGAGAATTCAATTATTATTTTTTAAAATATCAGAATATAAAACTCTAAAATAAAAAAAGCTATAGAGTGACATAAGGCTTACAAAGTCATCACCATCCTTTTAGAAACCCCACAGTAGTTTTTACTTTTCAAAATACTATTAATTGAATAGAGAACAGGATGCAGTAATTTCTTTGTACCTGCAGACAAAACAGTTCTGAGAAAATATTTAATGAACACAGGACATACTGTTTCCATTTACAAACAACAGCAAGTGAATACCTGTACTTAACCACAGTGTAGCATATGGTGTTCCAGAGGCTGAAAAGCCCTGAGCTGCATTTTGCACACTGCAGGTACAATGCAGGCTTACTGACAACCCCGAGCAAGAATCAAGTGCAAAGCTTCACCAGTGCAAGTCCACCTGAAGAGCCCTACTTGATATCTGCCAGAAGTTTGGGAACACAAGGAAGCCACTAGGTGATGCTGTGGAGCCATTATTATCCAGGTATATCAGACCAAGGATTTCTTACCAAGGACAGGAAACTAAGCAGGAAACTTTCTCTCCTGTGTGAATGGGGAGAGAAGATGATGGAGCATAGGAGACAAGCTGGAATAAAGGCATAAAGAGCATGCTGTAATGGCATGGCAGCAATGAGGACCTGGATGCACAGAGAACCCATAAGTGGGCAGACAGTAGATGGATATAACGAAAAGCCTGTGGCAGTTCTGTCCTCCATTCTCCCCTCCTAAAAAAGTAAGACAATAGCATAGTTTCAGAGAGGCTGCAACAACTTTTCAGTTGTTTCAGAACACTGCCTGTCCTCCTTCTTGCCCACAGCAGGGATTTCTAAGACCCACTCAAACAAATTACAGTTTTACCATCCTGTTCCCAGGCACCAGAACGCTTTATAAGCTTCACTCTTTATCATATTTAACCACATAATTCAGACTACATCAGACACCTCCAAAATCAAAGGTATATTCATCAATATGAGACCAGTATTGTGTACAAAGATGTCATTAGGGTTACAGTATGGTAGCATGACATTCCAGAACACTGGAACTCCATGGAAAAACATGAAGGAAAATTTTTGGCTGTTACCTTATTCTCCCATTCTAAATTTCAAAACAGAAGTGTTAAACCACGCAGGAAGTGCAGTCTCACTGTCATAATTTCTTTCAATGCAGTACTTAAGTTTGTATTCCACAGCAAAAATAGGCTTGTACTCAGGACACCTATAAATTCTTTTTCCATGAGAATAAATAATGATTATAAATGAGACTGGAAAAGCATTTAATATATTGTGGTTTTGATCAGAAAACCACCAAGAAAATGGCTATTTTAATCTGTAATGTGTTTCTTTTAAGCACATTAATTTAATAATTTTGAATTATTAAATCCATTTATTGGCTTAATATGCAAAAGCAAACCTGCACTGAGTGCATGTCAGTTACAGTGATATTCCAAAACCAAATATTTAAGCTGTGATATTCAGCAAATTCAAGTATTAATGCAAATCACTATTTCAGTAATTGGAAAATTAGGCAATTCAGTAATCAAGTACTTATTGGTCCCTTCCCATTCTATTTTTTAAAAATTTGAATGTCTCCAGTAGAATCTTTTCGATTCATTTTAAGTAAATGAACCAACATCATAGTATCAAATAATCTCATAAATTTCAAATCTTCTTCTGCATAATTAAAACATACAGTGAAAAAATATTACCCAAAACAATATGCAACTCCAAAAATTGTAATTTAATCTAGCATTACAAAGGTTCAGGTTAACAATACATGCCCTATACCATACTTTTGTGTGACTGAAAGTACAAAAGTCACTGAAAAACTACAGAATATTTGGGAATAAACACCACACTTAATCAATACAAGAAAACAATTTGGGACAATTCAGAAGATAGCAATCACTGAATAACGAGCAGTGATTGTTACTGTGGTCTCCTTAGGGACCATAATACTAATGACCAATAGAGGAGTTACAGTTCCACCGCCTTTCTACCAGTGTCTTACTAAAGGTTCAACTCTAACAGTTAAAATGGCATATACATATTCAACTCATTTGTAAGCATATGCCCAGAAAGACTTCAAGAAAGCTATTTGGAAAGAATACCATGAATCCCACAGCAAAACAGTACTATTCATATTCACTTTGAATAGTGAACTTCACTATTCATACTGAAAATTCTGTTATTCCAGCCCCAGTATGCGCTTCACACTTCTGGATGCATTTTTAATTCTAAGGTGAGCAAAACTTATCCCCGGTTAAAGGGACAAGTTTTGGTCACAGAAAACTGAAAACAAAAACTGCCATCCCATACAGAATTCTGGTGTCTTTATTCTGAAATGGAAACACTAGACAAAACATCTCTCAGTGTGCATTTTGAGGACATGCTCCTTATTTTTCAAGCGAGGTTATTCTGGAGGAAGCACCAGGATTACTCCTCTGGGACCTATGTAGCACAGCGCCCAAAAAGAAATAAAGCAGAGGAAAACGTGACTACAGCTCCCATTCAGTATATTACAGTTGCAGAATCACAATGAACAAAAAAAAAGAAAAACCCGAAACATCATCAAAACCAACTTCCCCCCTCCCCCCCCCCCAACCCACCCAGGAAAAAGTATTGAATTTTCCCCAATGGAAAGGTAACTTTCTGTCAGGAAGGGTTCAGACCACAAGGAAATTCTATTTTCTGATGAGAAAATACACTTAGCTTTTAGGCCCTTATCAAGCTACTTGCAACAAGGTGTTTGGATTTTTACTATTTTCCTGTGTATTCTGTTTGTATTCCAGAGTTTCTTCTTATCTTCTCATGATTCTCAATCCCAAGATGCATTACATCCTTTGATGGTGATCCTGGGGCTGCTTGAAATAATAATGCTCTTAATATCTGATTTTGAAAGCTTATTAAGTGGATTCAACTTCACAATTCAGCAAAGTTTTCCTCTTTGAAGACACATATTGGCTATGTCTACTTCTCTACAAAAAGAAACCCCTGAAATCCTAAAGAGGCAACAGACACAAGTTTCATCCTTCACACTACAACAAAGCCAACAATGATTTTAAAAAATAGCTTTTGACATCCAACACAGCATCTAAGCTGTAATAATTTAGTATCTTCCCACATATCACCAGAAAGGAAGGTAAAGCTCACTGGACAAATTAGAAGATCTGGCAATTTGAACTGCCAAAGCTGTTGTGAAGTGGAGATCCCAACCATCACCGAGGTTTGATCTCAGCTCATTATTCAGAGCTCCTAAGGAAAAGAAATTAATTGAAGGGCTAAACATAAAAAAATCAACTAAAGTTAGCTTTAGCCTGCTATGAGATCATCGGCAGTCCTAAGGACTGGGAAGTCTATTTCGGCTTTGTTTACAAGTGAAAACTGAAAGGCACTACAAGCCCCTTCAGCCTGAAAATCAGTAAACTGGGAAGTATCTTTTTGTTGGGACTGAAGTTAAACTGAAACAAAATTTTCTGAAGATGCAAAGAATTTCAGTTATTAAAAAATCCCTAAAGATTTGAGAGAATAATTTAGTATCTTACTAACAATCTACTATTTGCAGTCTCTGAAGTTATGCACTAGAAAATCAACATCCTTACAACAAAAATATAATTTCTTCCACAACTTCCCAGCCTTGCAATTCAAGTTGTTAATAAAAACTAGCATCAAATTATTCACTGAACCTTTAAACTAAACAGGAAAATATGCAAGGTGAATTTGGACAAAAGGACAAAGAACCCATAAAAGCAAGAAGTTTATCTGACAAAAACAAGACTGAACGAGTACATGTGCTACGTATATGAGATTTAACCCAAGAGGCACATTGCTCCACACTACTTCAAATAAGTGTGGGGAAGAGAAGGGTCTTTTGTGCCACAGAAATACCTCTTCTACCCTGCTTCTAAGTAATGAGCCTATTTTAAGGGCACTACCTGAAAAAGTGCTGAAAGAACAGCAAAAAGGGTAGAGAAACATGGAAACAGAGGCACCTGCTACAAGGTTGGTTCTCAGAACAGAACTTTTCAGTTCTTAACAGCAGATGAAGCCCATAGAGAATGGAGGCACAGGACTGGGTTTGACAAAGAGATACAGGTGCCACAGATACAAGAATGGTTAAAGAATGAGAGTCAGAATGAGACAGTCTGAAAAAGAGAATTTCGGGACTGGCTGGGAAGGACAGGAAAAATGAGCCAGAAAATCAGATGGAAGATAGAAGAATTAGAAGTTGAGGTAGAGAAACTGTGAGTCGCTGAAAAAACTGATGAGAACCTAAGAGAGCTTTAATGGAACAACAAGATCAAATCCTGTGAGAAGAAGGGAAGAACATGGGAAGTGGGAAAACAAACACAATCTAAACTACAACTGAAAGGGGAAATAAGCTGGAGCTCAGACAGCGAAGTTCAAAATAAATTAGAAAAGAAGTAGCAATGACAGAATCAGAAAATTGAGGACTTGGGAAAGAAAAGCATTTCCACCCAGAGCTTGTCAGGGCATTTGGTGCTGTTGGGTTTATGGCTGGACTTCTTGATCTTGGAGGGTTTTTCCAACCATAGCAATTCCACAGTTCCATGCCCAGGACGAT